ATAGCCGGCGGAATCGATATGTAAAAAAGTTCGGCGGAGTTGATACGCGGCGCAATCGATAGATTTATTACAGGTAAAAAGGTAATTTCGGCGCAATCGATATACGCCCGCTTTGTTAACCAGCGCCCAACGTCAGGGAGGAGCCGATATGTCCATCTGCCTTTATCAGACCGGTCCCACCGAGCTTGCCAAGCTGCAATGCTGATTATTCTCTCTTGGTTTTTAACGGTGCTCGGGGAGACGTCAGTCTGTTCGTCCAGGCGAACCCGAACTCTAGCCCTTTCTGTTGCTAGCAGATCTGCAGGTAGCATTGAGGCCAATACTGACGAGGCGTCGGCCGAGACTGTCCTATAGGCACGTGTTATGCGGAGTGCGACGGTCCTCTGCGCTCTTGCCAGTTTCACGCGATTCTTAGCCGGTTTTGTCCCGCGGACGGCCCAGGTCGGCGAGGCGTACAGCATCTTACTGTTTGCCACAGTGCCAAGAAGCGCTCTTTTACTTTGCGACGGTCCGCCGATGTTGGGCATCAGTCTGCCTATGGCTGTCGCTGAGTCGATAGCCTTGCGGGAGGCCTGTTGTATGTGTTTGGTGAAAGAGAGCCGAGTGTCGATCTCGACACCGAGGTATCGCATTGATTGTTTGATAGGAATTACGTATCCTTCAACCAGAAGCTCCGGGTTGTTGTATTTGTTTTTCCTTGTCAGAACTACAGCCTCAGTCTTGGTATGGGCTAGCTTCAGTCCGTTTTGTTCCATCCAAGCCGATACCTTAGCTAACACAGGATTGAGCAGGGTAGCGGCTGCTTCGCCTGTGCGGGCGATGCCTGTGACGCACACATCATCGATCAAAACCAAACCTATCATACATTTTTTTATGTATCTTCAAAACTAATCAATATTTTGACGATTTTTTTTTTATCTTAAAGCTATATAATTGTTCTATCATCAACCGACGTACGCAATTAAACCAGAGAAGTTATTTTTATTAATTTGAAAAAGTAATTATTTTTTTTTATCAAAAATTAATAATTTTAAAAGTAAATCGCGTATAACTCCAAAAAATGTAGTATTTACTATGGGTATTTTGTTTATTGTATTATTGTATTGAATAATACCTAGAATAAATTAAAAGTTGGTTTCAGTAGGTATCTTAAATGATTGCAGAATTATAAGCTGTCGTTACAATCTTGATTTTCTTAGAATCGAGTATCGGTCATTAATCGTTTAATTTAATTTTATTCTAAAATGTTGTCATTTTACAGTATAATACAATAAGGAAAAAACCCATAATAAATTTGATATCACAAATACGAAAAAAGTTCTTATAATTTAAAAACTAAAAATTACTTATTTTTTAGTTTTGATATCGGAAATATAAAAACAATGTTCTCATTTTTATAGTATATGGACATTTAGTTTCTTAGCTTAGAGTACAGCCTGAGTGGTTTTTATCGCCTTGCAAAACAGTTTTTCCTTTGTTTATACGTTGGTAATACGGAGACAACACATATGTGGGTGAACCTAGCGTCTTATTTACAATAATACGCAGACTATTTGATTCATTGCCATTTACATATTATTGTATACAAATTAAATCTATTGCAATGCAGTTTATTATAATATTAGGATTTAGGGGGAGAGCAAAGCCCCTCACGGATCTGTGAACCATAAATTATTCCAGCACCCGCTAAATTCACACCCAATGTGCGCCTATGACAGTATACGGGTATACCTACCTATAATGTAGCACTATATGTATGTAGGTACACCATATTAGTATACACAAGGTGCAGGTATTGACTCCAAGCTTAAAAACAATGATAGGTATACATTTAAATAAGATTAAATACTACACTATTATAATAATTTAATGTTAATAAATATAACTGGTAGGGCTAGGGATTTATATGAGTTTGAATGTTTTTTTTTAATAATCATTAAAAATATAGCTAATTAGGTAATATAAAAATTAGTTTCATCGCAATACGAATTTGTATTTAACATTTTTAATTGAATGTTTGGCATATTTGATAATTTTAATTCATTGGTATCCATTAGGTATTTGTAACTTTTTTTTACGTTTTTTAAGTTTTGCCATAATGAGTTCGGTGTATGTAAACAGTGAAAAAAATAAAAGAATGTTAGAATATAAAGGATTATATTAGTTATTACATACACAAGAAATAATTTATAATGAAAAAATGTGTTGGAAATGCTCCGAAAGTAAAAAACTGAAATGCAAAGGTCGAGTTCATGTTGTTGATGAAAAAACAGTGAAGGTCATCAAACATAATAATCATGTAAAAAATTGAGCAGTATATATCTGGCATAGAACCTCAGAAAAAAAAATACCAAGATAGGGCTAAGAGAATTATAAAAATTGGCACTTTTTATAATGATCTATTCATTGTAGACAGTGCTCGAATTGGAAATATAATAGAAGGGGTACTATAGGACTTTTAAAAATGTAGCGTTCCACTCAATGATTTAAACCAAACTAACCCGTGGGGGGCTTCGCCCCCCACACCCCCCATGTAGTATTTTCAACACAAATCAAACAATCATTAAAATTAAACAAAGGTTACACTACAACAATAAATAAATATTATTAAATTACAAACAAATCTTTTATTTTATTTTATACATTATTTTAATTTTTAAATTTTTAATATAATCCATAGCTCTACATATGAATGGGTTCTCTTCAATATTTTGAACTACATAGGTACTGTTTACAGTGTTACCGACATGTATCCGATACATGAATTTTTAATTTTAATCTCGATATAATATACATTATTTATACACATTATTAGCAGTGTTCGGACTTATCTAGATATTTTTTTTCTCATCTTTTATCTTATCTAGATAAATAGTTACAAAGTATCTAAACAGTCATCTTAGATATTTTTTTACTAATCTAAATGAATTCATCTAGATAGATTTCCTATTGATAAAAATCGCGAAATTAAACAAACGCATTTTTAATTTTTATTAATTTTAACGGTTTATTTGTTATTTCATTAACAAATAATAATAATTTTTACATAATTATAATAAAAAATACATGAAACATTTAATCTGGTTGTGCTATATCATGCTATAATTATTATAGTTATTTAACTATGGTATAGTATAATATAGCTAGGTATTAGCTATAATGCTGTAGACTGTATGGCAACAGTAAATAGAATTATAAAAAAAAAACTATATTGTTTGGTCAGATTATTTTAAATCCATTAAAAAAAAATTTTTATCTTTTTTATATGTAGATAAAAAAGTATTTATCTTTATCTTTATCTAGATAAATAAGAGTTATGTTATCTTTTATCTCTATCTAGATACATTTGAGTTGCATTTTCTTTATCTTTATCTAGATACAAAAATACTTATCTAATCCGAACACTGATTATTAGTATATCAGTATATGTAAGCCTGTATTATAATCACGGACTAAGATTTATAGTCTGTGGTCCGTGATTATAATAATAAATTATCTTATATATTTTGATTTTTATCATTAATGAAATTTACAATTTATCGCATATTTTGTTCAAATTGATAATACATAATAAATATCTTTAAATAAACGTTTTATAAGTTTGTCAATAATAATTTACACGGGAGACGTACCGTCCCCCCGTTCAAATTAAAAATATAAGAAGGGGTACGCTAAAAAAAATTAAAATTTGAAGGGGAGCTCCGTCCCCCTGCGCCCCCCCCCAATTCGAGCACTGATTGTAGATTATCTACGTGGAATAGCCTATAATTTTTAACTGGAAATTTAATTTTTCGTTTTTTTTAGCAATTTTAATTGACTTTAATTGACTTAAATTGACTATAATAATTTAATGTTAATAAATATAACTGGTAGCCGGTAGGGATAGGGATTTATATGAGTTTGAATGTTTTTTTTAATACATATATTTTATTTTTTTTAATTAGGTAATATAAAAATTAGTTTCATTGCAATATGAGTTTGTATTTAACATTTTTAATTAAATGTTAGGCATATTTGATAATTTTAATTCATTGGTGCATAGGTATTTGTAACTTTTTTTTACGTTTTTTAAGTTTTGCCATAATGAGTTCGGTGTATGTAAACAGTGAAAAAAATAAAAGAATGTTAGAATATGAAGGATTATTAGTTATTACATCCACAAGAAATAATTTATAATGAAAAAGTGTGTTGGAAATGCTCCGAAAGTAAAAAACTGAAATGCAAAGGTCGAGTTCATGTTGTTGATGAAAAAACAGTGAAGTTCATCAAACATAATAATCATGTAAAAAATGTATCAAAAATTGAGGTTAGGTTCGAAAATACCTGATTATTCAAATTAGACAGATGAAGATGACGAAAACAATCGAAAATTTAAATTGAAATGTGGAACTGTTTATAATGATCTATTCATTGTAGATTATCTACGTGGAATAGACTATAATATTTTTAACTGCAAATTTAATTTTTCGTTTTTTTTATCAATTTTAATTGACTTCAATGCAATTTATATAATTCTACCTTTTTTTTTAAATTTATTATTTAGCAATTTTGTTCGAAATTTTTTTTAAATGTATTTAATTTATAATATATAATTATTTATTTAGCAATTATATTTGACCTTTTTTTATTAAATAATGAGATATCAATATTATAATAGTAATATAATTTTCAGTTTTGAGAGCAATTAATTCTCTTCCATCAATTGTTGTTTACGATCAATTGAATTTCGATCAAAATTTTAAATTAACGGGATACCATCGTTCACAATATTTGAACGCGAACGCGTGAACTTGCGTCATTGTACGACGTTCTATCCAAACATTGACACTTATAGGCACTATTTTCTAGATTTATTTATTCAATTGTTTATGGATACATATGTTTTTTTTACTGAAGAACCATTTAAATACCAAAGCATAAACTCACCCCATTAAGTTTTATTAGTTTTTTGCTCCTACGTCCTACTTCGTCCTACAAACATGGTTAAAAATATTAATAACATGTTATCTTTATTTTTGATGTTAATTTTTATTGAATATATATACGCTGGAGGTAAGTACATTATATTATTTTTAATTGACTTCATAAATCAAAGATTAATATTAATGGAGAATCATAGGTATAAAATGGGCTTGATAACATCTTCAAAGCTAAATATTTGACAACCTCTTAATTTTTTTAATTTTTTTTTACTAACCATAAACTATTTTGTATCTAGTTAAAGACGATTGTTTGAGTAAGTATTATTATATTTTACCTTACAACAAACATATACATTATACATGTGACATGTATAAGTACATAAACAGTGAGTTCCACTTTAATCATAATGTGATCCCTTTTCTATTGTATAATTATCGTTTATATAAAAGTAAATTGGATAAGTATTTTAATTTTATGCAAATATGAAAAATAAATTATGTATCCCTAATTTTTAAATTGCATCGGAATCGTGTATTATAGTTCTATTATTGTTTGTAATTATTTTTTTCAAACATATGTATACCTAACGAGGTACAATATTATGTTACTTTTATTAACTTAGTAAGCATAACAATAATGAATCATTGAATAAGGTAAGTAAAAAGTAGGGAACCACTCTGAAAACCTGGTTTTGCGTGAACTGTGGTTTACGGTATAAGCAACCTAGACTCCATCCCATACAGCGTAAAAATATTTCCTAACTATGGTAAAAATATTTTCAGGAAAATAATATAGTTGTCAAAATAATTAGGAAATATTTTAGTTATATTCTTTGGCCCAAAAATTCATATATTTGAAAATTCTTTATAAAATACAATCACAAAATATTTTAATCATATATTTAAAATGAACATTTTTACGGAAATATTAAGTTTAAATTTATATGCAATTATATAGTATAATATTTTTTTAACATAAGAAGAAAATATTTATAAAATATTATTAGTCAAATATTTATTATTCAACCACTATAAGACATTCACAAAATATTATCATTTCTCAAATGCTATGTGGGATAGTTTTCCGACATTTTCCAACATTTTCCTAAGGTTTTATTTAACTTTTCAATGATCTACAATAATAAATGAACATATTTGAATTATGAAATAGATATGCAATTGACCTAATGGTGTTTGATACTTTGATTAGAGTGTTATATAATATTATAATATTATATGAATAAATTATAAATTAAAAATATTTAATAATATTATTATTATTTAATATTTAATATTAATGAGTGTTTGAAAATTTCATGAAATTTAAAAAAATTGAATTATTTCGTGAAATATTTCAGTGTTTTATTTTTAAATAAGTTTTATATTTACATATTATTGTCATAAATTACCTTTATAACTGATGCTTCATAACTGTAGTTCCATGCTATAACTGATGGTACCTACCTGTATGTATACCTAACCTTTGGTAATATAACCATCTTTCAACTACCAATAAAAATGTATTTAAAATGTCGTCGACGATAAGCCATTTCCTGGGAAAATAACCAGGTTTTGCTATAAATAATCGAAAATAAGACCTAAAATAGTAATATGTCAACCGTATCACTCTTATTTTATTAATGTCAATGATTATACCTAGAACTCTTGGACTATATAATTAATAATTGATAAATAACCATCATTAATATTTGTATTAAAAAAATTTCAATGTTTCACGTGTTTGTGAAATATTTCACCATGTAGTGAAATATTTCATACTTGAAACACTAATATTAATAATATATATTATCTACGGTTACTTGTTTTAAAGTTACACCAAAAACCAAAATTGCCCGGAATAAGAAAAAAAAATTGTACTGATTTCAGAAATCATGTAATCTTTCTCTCTTTCATTCCTGGATCCTAAACCGAACTTTCCTGATCCCCCTTCTCATCGTACTCTTCACTGATTGTGGCATTAAAATCTCTCATAATTATTAATCCATTGTTTGTCCTAGTAAGTTTAGAGGTATCTTCAATTAGTTCGTAAATGCTTTCTATTTCTTCTTCTGTGTTATTTGATGTTGGGAAATAAACTTACTTGTAGTATTATTAGACTGACATTCTGAGTTTTTATCTTTATCAACAATACTCTAACATTCACATGTAACGTGTTAACAATATTCTCCGCCCATTTTTTCTTCATTACTAACGCTACGCCTCTCCGTAATTGAACTTTTTATAATTCTGAATTCATCACTATTGCCTTGTCATATGGTTTCACATAGACCTAAAATATCGATGTTCTTTTCGATCATTATATTTTTTACTTGTTCTAACTTACCTAGTCTTAGCATCGTTCTTAAGTTTCATGTTCCTATATTCATTATGTTTTGTTTATTTTTTTGCTTGACTGTTTTGTCCGTTTGTGATGATATTTTCGCTTGTTGACGACCTGAGAAGCCTCATTATTTCTCTTGCCGATTCGTCAGTATCCGGGTTCATGATTATATAGTAGCTTTTATATTATTATTATTAGAAAAGATTATGGTTGTGTGTTAGGAATTCACATCGCAGTTGCACCTCTTATTTTTAAGAGGTGCTATTCAAGCATAGATAAGTCTATGCTTAATACAAACAAAGCGGCTGCCCATTTTTTTTTCCATTTGGTCGCCTTTTACGACTGGCATGGACTACAGTTGGTGTATTGTAATGTAGTGTAATGTAATATCCATTTCTCCTTAATTTGTATTTGTTCTTCCCGGCGCTTTTGAACACTACTAGAAAATTTTACTTTCAACCCCCCAAAAGTACCAACTAGATTCACTTTCATATTAGAAAATATACTGTAAAAATAAAAAACACACATCATTGTAAAATCAATACATTCATCGCTCTGCTCAGAATCTAAAATATTGTAAATATTCATTGTTATTTGAAACATCATTACAGGTGAAATGAACAGCGTTGGTTTAGTACATAAGATTGCAGGTAATTAATTTAATTTAGATATTTGAATATAAAAACTATTTTTAACAGTATATTAGTATGTCATTATACTTGGGTGTGCACTGTGCGCATGGGTTTGCGGGGTATGCAAGTGCATCACCTGCAGCAGTGAGGCTTTACGGCTAGTTGTTTTTTATAATAATATACTCCGGGTCAAGAGAGAAGTAACCCGTGTCCCGACCAAATCACGGTCGAATCTACCTATTCGACATGTCGACGTTGCACGATTACGAACGTCAACAGTCGGCCACGTTATATATATAATGTATACTATTAGTATTTATAATGTTGTAAGGTGGGGGAAATGGTCTCTGCCGTCCGTCTACATAAGCGTAGAGGGTTACTTCTCTCGTGGCACGGAGTATAGAAACAAATTTTTTAATTATTTTACTATTTATAAATCTTTTGGTATTAATCAATTTAAAAAATAAAAATGACGTTTAAAATTTGTCGTTTTTATCAATTATCGTGCATCTGAATGTAAAGTAATCACTGTTTTATTTCAGTTTTAATAACTGTGGTATTATTCCCATCGTACGTTTCAGTCAGGAAACATTGACTCTTATCACTGCAAGCCATCTTATACATTTTTAATTAAGTAAATCTGATACAGCAACACTCTCACAACATTTTATTTGAATGCCTTAGATTAGATTATAATATTTTGAAATCCCTACTAGATTTTAACCAGGAGTCTTCTACTAGGTATAGTAATTCATAATTGGCTAGACAAGTTAACTGTAAATATTTGTCTAAATGTTCAACAAACATTTTTTAAATATTATCGCGTTTTGTCACAATTTCGGTGACAAGTATTGTATCTGATTACTAGCTGTAAAAGAGCCTTTTCGAAATGAAGTTTAGTCAAAAATAAATTAATGAGTCAGATGTCACAAGAACGTCTTCAGTGTTTATTAAATATATTTGTGGAGCAAGAAATTACTACAAATTTAAATTTTTAAGATATCATTGAAGAATTACAATCTTTGACTCCGGCCATATAGTTTAATAAAATTATTTTAAGTGAAACCATGCCAAACATTTCCAATATTTTGTAGGTAAAGTAAAACATTTTTTATGATTGCAAAAATAGTTGTAAATATAGTAAAATAGGAATACACCATGTGCAAGCAATGCCTGCGCATGCCTATGAATGTTTATACTTAAGATTATGCTACACGGCCATCTGTCGTCTCCGTCTTACAAGTGCTTAATATTGCAAATTTACGCTCAGCAGATCACGTTTAGCACGGTTGGTTTAAAAATTAGAGTGAATCGACATAATATGAAAATTGATGGCAAGAACATTAACAGTGTTCATAATGTAGGTTTTTTTACAATAGTTCAGATTTTAGGTAATTTATGATCATTTTTAATTTATAACATATTGAACAATAGTAAAAAGCCCACATACAAACACAGATAATGTTCTCACTATCAAGTTTCATAATAGTTCGATTCACTCTAATTTTTTAACTAACGGAGTTAAACGTGATCTGCTTAGCATAACTTTGCTATGCTACGCACTTGTAAGACGGAGACAACAAATATCTGTGTAGCGTCTTCTTATTCGTCCTCTTTAAACTTAAAAGTACTACATACTTATTTTGTGTATTCATATGCATTCCTATTTTCTTACAATGAGCTGATATCGAGACATTTTACAACAACATAAATGTTATAGGACATGGAGATTCATATAGAGAAGATAAAAAAGAAACAAGAAAACAATTGACAACTTGGAGTGAGTACACATTAATTATTTATACAACTATATTTGATAATTTTAAGGTTCATGCCACTGCAGTTAACATAATCATCTATTTCATACCTATGTCTATATACTGGTTATAATCACTAATATAGGTAGATACCTACTAGATATTATCTATGTTCTATACCCACCTACCTGTGGTTTTCATCAGTAGTCTGTCAACCTTCGAAAAATAAATAATAATGGTATAGTTTATTTATTAAGTCCTTTATTTCGGAAATTCAATATAATAATAATATGTGAAACGCTCCCGTTGCATTTTACATGGCGCTGTGGTAAAGTTAGTAGCGATTTGGAATCGTAAGGTATCGTTAATAACAAGGTTTAATTATTGATATATTATCTACTGAGTATGTATAAGTACTGGTCACTCACTTTCCACGTATCATAATTATTGTCTTAGAGGACTGCAAGAGATCCAGATTGTGGTGTACCGAGTACTAATAATTAACACATTACATTAGATTAATTAAATATTCACTTTATTAGACATAGTTGTTTCAATACAACATTACAATACTCAGCAAGAGAGTATATCATAAAAACATAACCTTAAAACTAAATTATCATGGAATACTACATACATTACATTCCTCCCGACTTACATAAGAATTACATTTCATATAAAATTATTGAATATAATATAATATTAATTGTATAATAATAAAAAAAATAATATAAGTAATAATATAAGTAATATTGTACATATTAATTATTAAATAATTTGAACATTATAATTAAATAATAATAATAATAAATTAACATTCAATAGTCTATAAATCTAAACGAACAGGAGGTTTAATAACCCTACGGCTTTTCCTCAATTCCACCCCCTCAACTTTATCCTCTGTTTCCAATTCTACTTCTTTTTCTGCCTCTTTAACACTTTCACTTATAACTATTTGTTCTTTAATATTACCCTTATTATTATCAGCATTTTGTAATTCTTCTAATAAATCTCCATTAATTTCTACTTCTGTTCCATTTTTATTCATACAATCAATTATTTGGTTTAAATGTCGCTTATAAATGTTACCCTTAATAATTTTAATTAAGTATGTAACAGGTGATAATTGTTGTATAATTTTTCCCTGTATCCACTTATTCCCTTCTCCATAATTCCTACACATAACCTCATCTCCAATTTCGTACGATTTTGTTCTACCACCCTTATAATTTTCCTTGGCTCTTTCTAAGATTTTTGTATAATTATATTTTGCCTTGACTATTAACCTATCCAATGCTATATTCAACTGTCTACCAATGTGTAACTCTGCAGGACTCACCCCAGTTGAACATTGATTTGTACTATTGTATGCTAGAATAAATTTACTTATGTTGTCTTCTATATCTGAATTTTTTGCACACTTTTTAAGAAACATTTTAAAGGTTTTGACTGCATTTTCTGCAGCTCCATTAGTCGAAGGACTATATGGTGGAGTCTTAATATGTGTAACACAATTAATTTTTAAAAACTCTTCCATTTCATAAGAACATAAAGAAGGTCCGTTGTCAGTGACTAATTTTTTTGGAATTCCCCAAATAGAAAAATATTCCCTTAACACTTTGATAGTTGATACTGTAGTAATATTAAGTAAATGTTTAACATATAACCACTTTGAAAAAGCATCAATTATCACTATGAACATTTTACCATCTACAGGTCCCAGAAAATCTAAATGTATACGTTGTGATGGTCCTTCTGGCCAGGGCCAACTATGTAATACACTTTTAGGTGGATTATTACTATTAGCTAAACAAGCAACACAACTTTTTGTGATGTTCTGTATATCATTATCAATACCAGGCCACCAGATATATGACCTAGCCACAGATTTCATTTTAACCGTGCCCATATGCGTATGATGTAACTCATTTAATAATTCCTTTTGGAATTTACCAGGTACTACTATTCTATGTCCCCATAACAAACACCCTACTTCAATGGTTAATTCATTTTTTCGATTAAAATAAGGCTTTAATTCATCCTTTACTTTTTTGATCTTATCTGGCCATTTATTAGATAATACCCTAAAATAAACTTCACGTAGCACTTTATCTTCCTTAATTTCTGTACAAATATCTAAATCAGTAATTGATTTTATATTTGTCATTATTAAATTAATAAAAAAATTATCACTCTCAGCATCATTAATGTTATCCGAATCTTTGATAGGTAATCTAGATAAGGCATCAGCATTACCATTATTCACCCCATTAATAAATTCAATTTTATATGAGTACCCTGATAAAAACACTGCATATCTCTGAAGCCTATGTGCAGCCATAACTGGTATCCCTTTATTTTCCCCAAAAATACTCACTAACGGTTTATGATCAGTTCTTAAAATGAATTGTCGCCCAAAAACATATTGGTGGAAATACCTAACAGCAAAAACTATAGCCAAAGCTTCTTTATCGATTTGTGCATACTTCTTTTCACAATCTGTTAATGTACGAGACGCAAAGGCAATAGGTTTTTCTGATCCATCAGGTAATCTATGCGACAAAACCGCACCAATGCCAATTGGGCTAGCGTCGCTTGCAACTATTAACTCCCAACTACTATTATAATGTACAAGTATATTCTCAGATACTATTGATTCTTTGATTTTATTGAAAGCTAATTTTTGTTCCACCCCCCAATGGAATTTAACATTATTTTTTAGTAATGCATACAAAGCACCTGCTTTAAAAGACATATTTTTAATAAATTTGCCATAATAATTTACTAATCCCAAAAAAAGCTTTAACTTCCTGAACGTTTTTAGGGATTGGGGCTTCTGTAATAGCTTTGATTCTCTCTTTAAGTATGTGCAGTCCTTCCTTATCAATATGATAACCAAGAAATGTAACATTATCACTGAAAAACTTACATTTACCTTTTTTAAGAGTTAAGCCAGCATCATTCAACTTTTTCAAAACACTATCAAGTCTATTATTTACTTCTGTGTAATCTTTACCTGATACTACTACATCATCATAAAAACAAACTGTACCTGGTATATTACAAAGTAACTTTTCCATTTCCCTTTGCAGCATACCCGGTGCAGATGAAATTCCATATGGTAATCTTTTGAACATGTATAACCCTTTATGAGTAGAAATTGTGGTTAACTTTTGACTTTCTTCGTCAAGTAACAACTGTTGATATGCTTGGCATAAATCTAATGTACAAAATACAATTGCTCCCTGGAATGCACTTATTAAGTCTACTACTCTAGGTATCGGATATCTATCGACTTCCAGATATTTATTTAAAGTAACCTTATAGTCCCCACACAACCTTATAGATTTATCAGGTTTAACCACTGGAACTATAGGAGTAGCCCAATCACTTGATTTCACAGGAACTAACAACTCTGCTTTAATTAGTCTTTCCAATTCTTTACTCACACTATCCTTAAGAGAAAAAGGTATAACTCTAGGTTTACAAAACACAGGAATAGTGTTTTCTTTTAAATACAATTTAAAAGTTCTATGTTTAAAACATCCTAATTCCTCATTAAAAACAGAAGAATACTTTTGTATAATATCTTGTTGAGATAAGGAATGAAAATTTAATTTTAATGGTAATATCTCTAACTCGATCAACCAATCTCTGCCAATAATCGGTGGTCCTCCATCCATTACAATATACAAACTTAATGACTTCCACTGATTTTTGTACTTAACCTTGACCTTTAAAATTCCTATTGGTATAATTATTGAACCATTATATGCTTTTAAATTAACATCAGTTCTCTCCAAATCCTCCACACAACCCAATTTAAATTTATCAAAATCTTTCACAGACATAACCGATACCGCTGAACCCGTATCTACTTGAAACTCTATGGTTACATTATCTACTAATAGTTTAAGACAAAAAGGTTGCACAAAACTTACATTTCTAGTTTCTAAATTAAACAAACTATTCAAATTCAAATCTACATTATCAAGGTCAACATTATTAACATTTTTTTCTTTATTCTTACAGACATTCTTTAAATGACCGACCTTGTTACAAATTGAACACTTATAACTAATATACTTACATGATGGTTTAGTATGTCCACTCTTCCCACAGCAATAGCATACCCAATTTCTTTTTGTACCTTTCATGTTTGATTCTCCACCAGTTTTGCCACTATTATTCGATGATGATTGCTTGACTTTGGTCAGGAACTTGGTATTTTTCTTCTTTGAAGCTGTATGGTAGTTTACTGCTTCATGATGTTCCATCTTTGAAATGTCATTGTTAGCACTCTCCATAGCCAAACTCAGTTCAATGCATTTTTTGAAAGTTAAAGAGTCTTCGGATAATAGTCTTTTCTTTATATTACTATCTCTGATTCCCCAAATAACTTGGTCTCTCAATGCATCATCCAACACAGTTCCAAATTCACAATGTTCAGACATTTTTTTAAGTCCCGTAATAAACTGAATAATGGTTTCATTTGCAGCCTGTCTGCGTTCTTTAAACTTGTACCTTTCAGTAATTAAATTCGGTTTCGGATTTATGTAATTTGTAAGCAACTTTTTGAGATCATCATATTTCTTTTCAATGGGTTTACTAGGTGTACATAAATCTCTCAGTAATGCATACCCATCGTTACCCAACAATGTTAAGAATAATAATTGTTTTTTATGCAAATTAATTTCATTAAGCATCACATACAATTCAAATCTCTCAATCCAAGAATTAAAATCATCTTCTTTGAGCTTAAATTCTGTCAATTGACCCATTTGTTGCCCTGTGCAAACACGTGGACTGACCTGATTCGAAGCGTTTCCGTCCATTATAAAGTAATTAACACTACACGGAAATACGGAATTACTTACATACGTACTCGAATTATCTTCGTCGCCAATGTGGTGTACCGAGTACTAATAATTAACACATTACATTAGATTAATTAAATATTCACTTTATTAGACATAGTTGTTTCAATACAACATTACAATACTCAGCAAGAGAGTATATCATAAAAACATAACCTTAAAACTAAATTATCATGGAATACTACATACATTACACAGATGATATTGTTTTTCAATAAATGGTTTAACACAAATTTCAACAGTGAATAAAATTATAGTGAAAAAAAATTAATAAAAAAACAGTTCCGGAGTGGACCATTTTTGAAAACGTGAAAATAAAAATAAAAATTATCAAAAATAATAATATAATATAATGTATTTATCATATTAAATAATGTCTCCCCCCCCCAAATTAGAATTTTTAAATTTTTTTTAGCAAATAATTTGTATGCAATTAGCATGTATTTGCACAATAAATTTTTTAATTTGCATGTGTTTTAATTGTTTGGGGTATCAAAAATAGGTGGGGGGTTGTAGACACGTGTCTCCGACCCCGCCACAAACACATCACAAAACATTACTTTCAAATTTTTTTTCTACGCAAATATTTAGCATATAATTAGCATTTATTAGCATGCCTGGCCCTGCAACTCTAACGGAATCTTTGGTTCGCAAAAACTCATTTTTCTAATTTCCACTTTTAAAAACACACACACAATATATATATTATTGTCTATAATCTATATACTAACTATATACTTAATATTATAAGGCTGATGAGTTAGTTTGTTTTTTTTGATAAAGGTAGACAATGTATTAATGTAGAAAATCTTATAATGAATCTTGAATTACATTTTAAAATCTTCGATTCAAAAAGAAAATTATTTATGAATTTCTAACACGAAATAATTTTCAAGTTTTCGTCATTTTGACGTATTTTGCAAGGATATTTGAACTTTAGATGCTCATAAAAAAAAATTGTGACTAATGATTTTTAATTTTTTTCATCTGCCTTTGAAACAATATCCTAGGAGCCTTCTATTAACTTCTCAAGCTTTTTTAACCAACAAATAAAATTTTTTTGATATTTTTAGAAATAAAACTAAAAAACATTGGAAACTGAAAATGTCCGTAAAGAGCTCAAAATAAATAAAAATACTTGGAAAATGTCATGTTGTATAGAAAATGCTAATATAAACATTCAGTCAAAATGTCATGTACCTACGGTCATTTGTTTAAGAGTTGCAATAAAAACCAAAATCGATTTTCTCGAAAACAGATTTTGCGTAAATATTCCCGTTTTTCCTTAATTTTTCTTTTGTTTTTCACATTGCTTTTGAAAACTATTGTGAAATTTTTACTTTTGACCCCCCAAAGTACCAACTAGATTCACTTTCCTATCATAAAAGATACTGTTGAAGAATATCCATGCACTTTTACTGTCCTAAAACGTGATGACAGACACAAAAATAAAAGAAAAAATTAAAAAAAACACACATCATTGTAAAATCAATACATTCATCGTTCCACTCAGAATCTAAAAAAACCCTTAGACGTCAATTATTCCATATTTTATTCTTATTTTATTACTTGTATTGCTTATTAGTTAAAAACGGCTACAATGGCGATTTATGTAAGTAATTTGAATCAATGTTTGATATGGATTAGCTGCGAAGATTATTGTTTAGAATATTGTATTTCAATAGAATTATTGTTTAAATTGATAAGCATTCATAGTTGATGAATACATTTTATTATATGGCTGTGCATCAAAATAAAAAATTCAAGCTAATGCATTACATTATTTCAGGGTATGTGGAAAATTACGTAAATTATTGTCGTGAAAGTAAGAATTATTAAACTGTTTACACCACCTACATATTATGACATGCATTATAATACTTCTGTGGAAAGATGGCTGAAGCAGATATGTCCATTTTGTTAATTTTTTAATTATCATTTAATTAGTTTAGAATAGTATATTTCAAGTGGTAGCAAAATACGATGTGTCTCAATTGTGTGTGTGGCGTCATCTATATGCAAAGACCAAAATTGATATTATGTCATTATTTTAAAATATTATATGTAGCGCCAAAACTAAGTTCAGAGAATGTACATATCAGCTTCTGCCATCATTCTATAGATTTTAAAATGTATTAAAAATTAAAACACACACTAAATAAAGACCAATAATTGTGTTTATTGTTCTATAATTACATTAAAGCCAAACAATTTAAATTAATTTAAGTCAAACTGTTAATATTTTTTAGACGGAACTGGTTTGTCGGCAATAGATTATTGTAATGGTTTATGAAAATATATATGTAAAGAATATAATAGAAGTCTTTAAATTGTATTTTACCTCCCTCTGCACGGTTAGTGTGGTTATAAGATGATAAATGATAACAATAATAGTGATATAAGCAAGTTATGATAAAATAAATTAATTGTAATAAGAAAAATTTAATATTTTAATGAAAGATGTAATAGTTTAATACCTATAGTGATAGTCCTATACCTAGTTAGTAATTTACATTTTATTGAATAAACAAACATTTATTGTCGTGTCTTTATGTTTAGGTAAGTTCTGTAAATAATAATAATATGTAATAATAATAAATAAAATCTTTATGTTTAGAGCAACACACTGTTGTTTTGATTCGTTTATGGTTAATTCCTGAAAAAATAAAATAGAAGTCTTATATAGGTACATATATAAAAAAAGGTGGGCAAGTGGGTGTCGCTCTGCTGTACAGTAGGTTACAAGTGGGTCACTGTATAATGGATGGTATTAAATTTGAATTCAATGATATAATATCATTGTATAAGAAAAACGATTCTGAGCGGTGATGGTATGTCAGTCTATGTATAAGGCATATTATATACATATCTATGGTATTAAACAAAAAATTGACCTATAATAGGTACCTATAATAAATTCCAAATTAATCATATCACAATATCCATTAGGTACTTATAACGCGTTATACATCAACAAAAACCGTGATACTATCATAGATATATAATAGTACACTTTAGAAGTTTCAAGTACCCACGAATAGTATTATTCAATCACAACAAAATAACTAAAATCGTAATTCTTGGTTTAAATATGAAATTTTGTCTAAATTTGAAATTAAAATGTCTGTAAAAAATAAGTGTGTTTATATATTTTTTAGATTTTTTGGTTACAGTATGAATTATTTAAGAGAATCTTTGTTTTAAATTTTCAACTCTTAGTTATAAAAACTGAACATTTTATAATTTTTTAATTCCAACGATTGATAATTTTCGAGATTTTGATAAATTTTGTCAAAATTCCAACTTTAAATGCTTATAAAAAAAATCGTGCCTATGTATTTTTAATATTTTTCAACTGATATTGTAAAAATATATCAGGAGCCTTGTATTAAAGTTTTACACTTTTTGGCCCAACAGATAAAACTTTATTGATATTTATAGAAAAAAAAACTAAAAAAAATTGAAAGCTGTAAATGTCCATAAACAGCTCAAAAAGAGTCAAAATATTTTCAAAATTGTATGGTGTATAGGAAATGCTAATATAAACATTCAGTGAAATTTTCATGTATCTACAGTTATTCGTTTTTGAATTACAACAAAATAAGGAAATCGCTACATGAGAAATCGAGTGAAAATCCAATGTTGTAAAAATTTGAATTTCAAACGCTCATAAAAATTTAATTTGACTGTCCGGTAGAGATTTTTTTATTGATAAAGGTAGATAATCTTATAAGGAATCTTGTGTTTCATTTTCAAATCTTAGATTTAAAAAGAAAAATTTTTACGAACTCTTAACTCAAAATAATTTGCTAATTTTCGTGATTTTTCCATATTTTGTTAATTTTTGAACTTTAAATGCTTATAAAAAAAATTGTGACTAAGGATTTTTAATATTTTTCATCTGCCTTTGAAACAACATATTAGGAGCCTTCTATTAAATTTTCAAGCTTTCGCAACCAATAAATAAAATTTTATTGATATTTTTAGAAAAAAAACTAAAAAAAAATGGAAAATGAAAATGTCCCTAAACAGTTCAAAATAAATCAAAATATTTTGAAAATGTTATCGTGTATAGAAAATGCAAATATAAACAACCAGTGAAAATTTCATGTATATACGTTCATTTGTTTTAGAGTTACACCAATAACCAAAATCGATTTTTTGGAAAACCAATTTTGCGTAAAAATTCCCGTTTTTCCTTAATTTTTATGTTGTTTTTCCCGGCGCTTGTGAAAACTACTGGGAAATTTATACTTTTGACCCCCCAAAGTACCAACTAGATTCACTTTCCTATCAGAAAAGCTACTGATGAAGAAAATCCAAGCACTTTTACTGTCCTAAAACGTGATGACAGACACAAAAATATAAATAAAAATATAAAAATATAAAAATATAAAAATATAAAAACATACATCATTGTAAAACCAATACATTCATCGCTCCGCTCAGAATCTAAAAAATACTTATAATGTACTTTTAATAATTGATGATGGTTAAATGTAAGAAAATTCGTACTTTATGAAATAAGACGAACTTATATCGTGATAATTTATATAATATATAATATATTTATTACTTATCTACAATAATACCTAACTTTTATTTGATATTCTAATAATATTGATTTATTTGATAAAGCATAATTATTTTTCTATAATATTATTTTAAGAACTAATAAAGTCACACCATCATTATATCAATATGTAGACCCTGAACAGATAACCGGCCATTTCTTATGGATATTACCTAAATATTTATATTATAATATATTATATTATATTATAATATATTAATAATGTATAGCAGACATTTATGGAAACACAAGAAGAAATTGAGTTACTAGATCCATAGGAAAATCAATTAAATTCACGAAAAAGTTTTGAGAATAATTATTATAAATTAGTAGCTGGCAGCATAAAAACATACATAGAACCGAAAACAACCTCAACAACATAGGA